TTCAAAACACTTTCAGTTAATCTAGATCATTTTTAAAAGTCAATAAAGATATCTCATAAAAATATTCACTCTACGATAACTCCGGTAGCTGTAATTTGAAGCGAGTATTAAACTCAATAGCTCGGAAAAATGCTGGGAAACAAAAGTTGAAAAAGGTTGCGAATATCTGATCCCGAGAACCACGGAGTTCGCTTTCATACAAATGCTAATAGAGGGAAAATTCAGAATCGCATTTTCCGTTAAGACGGGCTTCTTGGGAAGATTTTCACGAAAAATTTATACGAATAACCGAATGATTTACATTTTTATAGGTGGATCGTGATAATTGGGTTTTATAACATGTAAAACTAAGCTTGTTTTAAATATACCGTGAATCTCATGTCTCCCCGTGACCACGGCTGCTGCAAAGCATCGGAAATGTCGGGTCATAGTTAAAATAATTGTCAAATAAGTTTAACTAATATATATCGCGTTTTAAAGCGTTATAATTAAATATATTTACCAATTATTGAGGGTTTTCAATAAACCAGTTAAACAATTAAGAAAGTTTTAAAATTTTTATTGTCTCATTTACAGAGGCAGCCGCGTTTTCGTTTGTAGTTAAAGATTAATTTAGTTTAGTTAATACTGGATTAATTGGTTTCATATATATAGACAATAGTTTTACAGAGTCTCAATTATAGAGGTACACGTTGAAAACGTCTTAGAATCAAAATCTTATTTAAACAGGTTCAAAAAGTTCCACTGAGAGGTAGTTTAATGAAAAAGAATCGGGACCTCATTGCAACTATACAATAATAGAGGTTACTTATTTTTCCAGGTTTCACGGTTAAAATTAACTACAACTAAATTAACGGTAAAAATTAACACTTTAACGGTTTAAAACGCGATATATATTAGTTAAACTTAATTGAAAATTATTTTAAGCACGGCTCGACGTTTCGGATGCTTTCGTCATGACAGCAGCCGTCGTCACGGGGAGACTAAAGATGGAGGGTGTCTCCGACGACAGAATGCTAAAAACTGCTACGCTAGCGCCATCTGTTCCGTCGGTGGCACTAGCATTTTAAACCGGTGAAGTGTTTTATTTAAATGTGTACTACTCGCATAAACTACAGACAGGTTTCACTGTATCTTGTTTTATATATTATCACCCGATTATGCATAATATTATAGTAACTGCAGTTTACCTTGAAAACTTTAATATTTTTTACATGTGATTGCACATGAAGGCATATAATTTAAAAATCGAAATGAAATTGAAAAAATTTTCGACTCGGGCAGGTCTTGAACCGGCATCGTCAGCTTTCCGTGCTGTTGCTCTACCTGACTCGGTAGCTCAAGTGAAAACCAGCGCTTCTCCTCTACTCTGGGTGATGAAGCACATGTCGAGTGCTTTCCCCCATTTCACAAGCACTCTTCCAAGTTCTTTTTCTTCCTCTTTTTTAATGTAGTAACTCAGCTAATATTTAAGTTATTTATGTCTTGTGAAATAAATGGTTTTAGTTTGAGTTTGAATTGATAGATATATACTTACCCAAAGGTAAGGCTTAAGATTTATTCAAATAGTTTGTATCATAAAATTGTGATGGTTATAGATTACGTGAAGAAGTTTTAAGTACTCAAATATTTCTGTATATATACGACTGACAAGGCGGCAAGAACGACTTAGAAAGAGCAGACACGCTGTCAAGTATAGGTTGAGATGAATCTTATTTTCCAAGCGATCCTCCTCATGAATATTTGAACGCACGTTTGGATACCTTTGGTGAGGTCTGTACATGGCTCTTGGGGCCAGGAAACACGCGACAAATTAACTACTAAAATAACTAATAATACTTTTAAATGGCAAAACATTTTAAGGAAGAAGAGAATATCAAATATTTATATGCCGCTGAGATAGTATAGCTGAAATGGAACGCAAGCTGGCCTGGCACGAAAGCAGAGAAGGAAGTGTGTGTTCTCCGTTTGCGCGCCAAGAAAGACTACCAGAGACTACCTAAAAAATGAAGACCTTTTGTTAAAATACCATCCGGCCCAGGAACCAGCGACCACGAATGAAAGAGCTGTAAAGGAGAATGGCGCTTCGGTCTCAGTCTGTAGATTTCCGAATATCAAACACCAAAATAGGTTGATAACACATCTCGTTGACATGTACATGCTTCGGTCCCTTGCTTGTCTGTCCTCCGTGATAATAATTCAATTATACCTTAAGCTACCTTTCATGGCCGCGCTTATAAAATTGTAACCCAAAAAGGTGCCTTTATAAATTGCCATCAATGAGGACACATGTTATCGTTACGTATACGTGACTTATAAAATAAAGTACTGGCCTATTTAACAAGGGATTAAATGTTTATTCTTTCGTCTAACCGTTGAGGTTAGACATAAATAAAATAAATAAAAAGTATTCTCTTTTTTGATAGGCTTTAAAAATAATAAGCTTCTATTATTCAAACATATAAACAATTTTGAATTGGAATCTGTCTTTCAACTTTTTTTAACGTAATAGAAGAGAAGAGACTGGCAAGGTGTTCACAAGATGGTAGGTAAAATATCCCAGCCATATCAAAAATATTCTTCACACATTCGGAACTTCACAGACTGAAATCGTGAGCCGAACGGAATTTCGATAATCCTACCATCTATTTAATATCTATCTGGATTAGAAACAGATTGGACGCGGTAGGAAACGATCTCTTGATTATTAGTCATACGCTAAACCAATAAACCCATTAACTTAGGCTTCATAACTTCCATTTATGTCTTTAATTCTTCCATCTAGCTCGCCACTCTAAGCCATTTTGAATTTACTTTTCTTAGGTCATCTTCTCATCGTCTTCCCTTGATTATATTTTTATCTCCCTGGTACCACTCTGTAATTAATTCAGTCCATTTTTCTCGAACTTAGCATGTGGGATATCCATCTTCATTTTAGCTTTGTTGTTTATGATCACCTAATACACTTCTTTCCATTATATTTTGGCAGAGGTTTGATAGACTTAAAGGATGATTAAAATTTATAGGTTTAATATATAGAATTAATGAACCATAGACAGACACATAGTCTATTGATGTCTATGCTGCGGTTCTTATATACAATTTTGTAACTTGGCTACAACAAAGCTGCCTTTGTTTTGAATGAAAATAAAAGTTCTTAGACGATCTTTGCTTCGCTGGTCTTGTCTTTGGAAGCGGACAATAGTTATAGAACTGCATAACGGTAGCGTTGTATAGCTAATAACGGGAAGTAGATTTGACCCCCACCGGCGCCAACGTATTTCGTCAATTCGATATTATATCTTTTCTGAAACGTGTTAGACCTCTTTCGGTAATCTTACTAAGAACGGTTGTAAGAACAAAACTCATTCCGAGTAACAAACTAGCATCCAAAGATGAAAAAGTTTTATCGCCTTTCGGTCCCCGTCTGCGTATTTCCGAATATTCAAAATGGATCTACAGCGCGTATTGTCGAGATGCCTTATGGCTTGAGTATTTTAACTTCCTTCAATTGGACGATACGTTTGTCTGTCCTCATCTATCATTTTAAAAATCCCTAGACGGCGTTTGTCGAAGCTTTGACTTTGTGGGTGTTCTTTATTGTGTTTGAGGGATTTCATCGATCGTAACCATGGCAACAGTTAACATATCACGTAAGAAGTAGATGATGGATTTAAAGAATACATACCTTCGAAAGCATAATAACGAAGTTTAATATAATATTAAAAGTGCATTTATTTATTACTGCAGTAAACAACCGTCAAGGTGAAAATGCCTCTCGAAATAATTAAAATATGCTCAGAGCAATTGATATAGGACAAAATTAGAAGCACTCAAACAAAGTACCGAGGCAAACAAAGGCAAGTGCGGCGCCTTATATTTGAAATGGCGAAAGCAAGGAGAAGTCTAGTAATTATTAGTGAAAATTTACTTTGCAACTTATACTTTCGATTGGATAAGTAATATATAGACATGGTATGATGAATCAAAATTTAAATATCTTAATATTAAAAAAAGATGTACATGTACCATATATCCTGGATCTAGTGGTAGTGCTTTCCTACGATAGGTAGATTTCCACCCTGGTTCGTGGAGCAACATCAAGGACCATTTTTCCTTATGTTTATTTTACGAATCACCTAAAATGCTAGAGTATATACTATATATAGTAATATACTATGGTCAATATAAAAATACAGAAGCATACAGTACCTAAATAACACAAATGGGTAAATTATTAGTCATGAAAACATTTAAAAATAAACGTTAGACAGTGTTAAGTGTCGATGTAGTAACAGATCGCTTCTAACGAGGCGTGACAGCTAACATATCGTTCTACCGGTACTAATAGTGCATTCCAGCTAGAGACTTCAACGAGAGCTTAGTTTATGTACAAACTTACGTACATATAAATACGTGTCTTTAGAATACTTGAATACAAATGTTATATTGGATGAGATAATCTAGAGTTTAATACCATAGATAAAGAAGTTCTCCTCTTTCACTTTTTTTTATGTATTGCTGTGAATGTCTTATAATTCTGTCAGAGATTATATTTGTAAGTTGTGTCTGGTGGATTACAGATTATAATAGTTTGAATTTAATTATAATTATTATACTTTTATAGAAACTAGAACATTCTTGACTCGAAATGACAACTGTTTAGCTTTTCCTAACTGTTTATGTTTTGTATTTAATCTTTTTTTATCTAGTGTTATGTAATTTATTTAATGTATTTAGCATGTTATGGAAGAAAAAGTATTATGAAATATGTGATATTAAATCGGCACTTTTCGCGTAGGTCTATCACAGATTATGTAACATGTCTGTTATTTTACATATTCTGTGCATGAACTGAAATAATTTATTAGAAGAGGACACCGTGCAAGAACAAAATTATTATTTAAACATCAACTCCAATTAAAAAGCAGTGTTACCAATTGTAGCAAATAAATACTCGAAATTTACTTGAAATTTAGTCTGTGGAACTAGCATCTCACCTGACTTTTTGGCACTATTTCCTTTCGCGCCATTTTTGTTCCGTCTCGGGTACAAATTAATTTTACTCTGGCCACACCCCATCACCACGTCTATTCACCCATCACTACGCGAGAAATCACCGAAAACCACTTTATGACTACGCATTTCATTTTGTTTTAGTGAAACTTCAATTTAAATTTGTTCGTTGCACGTTTAAGTGTCCCATTGCTCCGATCGTGTGCCATGATATTTTTTCTGAAAAGAAAAAAGAATTTTATGTCAAGTTGCGGCTGTCAAACTTCCCGCCAAAAAGTAATATTACAAATGCTTCTACAACGAGTTTTATTTATTCTCCTATTTATAATTAAATTAAATTAATAACAGTTTGTTCGTACAATCGACCTTAAATATTTCTAGGAACTTGTCAACAGCCAAGCCAACGTGTTACTTACGTTAATGGTTAAAGTTGATACATAGTTAATTATTATCTATGATATTAATACTCGCAATTATACAGATACTATGACTAATAATGTCATCTATTTTCCTCATTGTAGCAATTTAATCCTTTTATAATCTCTATAGATATAATATACTGTGGTGTTGGGTAACACACAATTTTAAGGATTGTAATATTTTAAAGTCCATATGATTATTATGGGAATATAGGTTAGACTTGTCAATTGTCAAAAAAATTGGTTTTTATTTAAGTTACGTCAAATCACGTTTTTCTATACGTCGACCCCTAAAGGAGAAAACGAATAATCTACTATGACACGGTAGCAACATCGGTTAGAGCAACAGCATGGAACGCTATCGATGCCGGTTCAAGTCCTGCCCGTGTCGAATTTTTTTTCAATCTAAAATCGATTTTTAATTTTCAATTTAATGAATAATATAATTTTAGCTGATTAAAGAAAAGCATCGGCTAATTGTGTACCTATAAAAAAATAAGGTAAGCTATATTAAAATCCAAAGAAGCATCGTAGAGGCAGACAATTGTTTGCATAAATGAAAAAAGAGATCTGTTAAGAAAAATGAGGAAAATTAAAAGTTTTGAGATAAATTAGTACGGACGGGAAATTTCAGAGTTGGTAAATGCGGAGATAATAATATGATAATAGATTCTCGAGTGTTAAAAAATCAGGGTGACTTTATTTATGCTGAAAAAATGGAAATAATTACGCGAATCTTTACTTGTTACTACTGTAAAAATACAAGATGTTCCGGGATAAGAACTTCGTGTTTTACTACTGGTAAGCTATATATTCGTAATTTCAATGTAAGTGTAGTTTACACTTTGTACTTTTAACAGTGCTTACTGCTAATTATAATGCAGAGAGTACCTGCGCTGTTTCGTTGTAAATTTTAAATCCTAGAATTATTCAATATGTGTAGTTATTTCAAACGGATTATATTTTAAAAAGGAGACGTTAACCTTCGTCGTAGTCCATAATAAAACAATATAGTAAGTTAATAAGTTCTCATTCTTGGCTCATTTCCGCTTCAAACCTACATTTTTTGTTGCTAGTGCCATATTTGACGCTAGTTCTGCGTAAAATTTAAAGTAACCGGCGAGTTATTTATAAATTAACAAAGCACACATTTCTAGTAAATTCCACGAGAATCGTATTAACTAAAACAATGCATCGTTAATCTATTTGATGTTGATGGAAGCCAGACATATTGCGGTAATACGATGCGCAGAACGCATGTATTTGTCTATGCTGAGATATTCCATCTATTTGGTAACGACACCTGATAAGACCGGAGCCATACATAAGTGAATTGTAATTTTAAAAATATAGAACTTAAAATATACAAGACAAGAACGGTCTACGGCAAATTCGTGAAATTTAGGGTTTGGTGTTTCGTTTAAGTACCTAGGGAAGTTTTGTGCCCAGCCATAACACGTACTGATAGGTAAGAACAAAATTTATGTATACAATGGAATTTTTAAGGAAGAAAGATGGATTATTTATTATAAACTAAGTGATTCGTTAGCTGGTCCGGTTATACCCATGTGTCTAGACAATACAATGCGTCAAACAGACATTTATCTCAATATTTATATGTATATTTTTGCGGGACAATATTTACAAATTCTGTGTCTCCAATTGTTCGCTTACATAAGGGTAAGTACTAAGTAGCCTATAGAAGTTTATAGAAGCTAGAAGTAACAAAGCGACCACTGATACTGCGTCAACTAAAACCTTTGAGCACCCTTTACGTGTGAACTGCGAGGGTCCTTACTCCTTGGAGATCAGAGGGTGACTACATTTTTTAGTCTTTTTTCAACGGAAGACAGTCATACGAAATACAGACGAGCATGGGTCTCACTTGATGGTAAGTGCCCCAGCATAGCATCTAAACAAGATGCGCTATCGACCTACTTTGGCTTTGGATATTCGGAAATCCACAGACTGAAACCGAAACGTGATTAAACTTCACGACTTTTTCATCTGTAGGTGGTGGTTTGATATCCAGATTTCCAGACGAAGTCCAACATGAAATCATCATAAATATTATATATTGATTAGAAAAATTTGTACCCGGTTGGGATCAAACCCACGACCCCGTTAAAATTGTTTCGTTTCTTATATTATTAATTATCCAACATTCATTATTATTGTAAAAAAAACATTACATCGCGGTTACTCGATACTTAAGACAAGTTACATTGTTTAGTAACGATCAGCTAGAATATTTGAAGTCGGCATGGGACAGTTATAACTTTTAAGGGACAATATATCAATTATAATTATGTCATGATTGTTATCAAATTAGAATATTTAAGCGTCGTTATATTGGCCAGAGTTGTAATAGGTACGTGACGTTTTGATGTGGTACACAAGTCTGATCCTGTACAATGATTTTGCTTAGTGAAACATACAAATGTGGCTTCATGCCCCACATAGAGGCAAAAGTTACCGAAACTTAGACATGTCATTTTATTACTTCAACATACATTTTATTGCATGAATTTCTCGATTCATTTAGAAAATATGGTCACCCTACCCACCCTTACTATCGAAGGAGCACCTTTGTAGCATGAAGTAGCAGCAAGTAGTAAGATCGCGCTTAGACAATTGTTTTTCACCCTCTAGTGTAGTCACTAGTCGCAGAGGAGGCATTGTCTGAGCCGACATTGTCAAATCAGACGTTACAAACTTCCAAGTTTACTAAGACTCATGATAATTTTAGTCTTAGTATTCACATGTCAGGGGTCAAAAAGTATAAACATTATTCTACATATTAAATTTCTTAATGACTAATCATAGAAGTACCTACATGCCATGATACTATAATAAAAACTTGAAGATATTTTGATTATGGAAACGACACTCTTTCTTAACAGTACGTATCGTTAAGAGCTTTTAAATTAAACACTTTTATTTGTTAGAAACGCGAAAGATTATATTATTAGTTAACTTATTTTTAACTCGATGTTTCCAATGCATGACAGCTGTCGTGATCACGAAACATAACAATTTATTTTGCGTTCTAACCCGTTTAAAAGTGTACTTTTCCTGTGAACGTACAGACTGGCTGCAACACTGATCTATTTTTCACAGATCTGTGGTTGAAACTCTAGTCTCAATAATTATATTAAGAGCCAAAGAAAATGTATATTGTATACATATAAATATAATTGACATAATCTTTAGAGACTGTGTTCTCCTCTTGTAGTAATTTAAAAAATGTTATTTCCTAACATCACTTTGTATTATCGTTTCAGTGGTTTATACATTTTTAGGAAGTGTTTTTAGTGCCTATAAACACAGGCTATAAATCATATGCTTTGACAATTCCTCAAAACAAACTTGGCCGAGGCGGTCTGAGAGCGCGAGCAAACAGAAAGAGTAAAAATAATTCCTCGCTTTCCAAAGTTTTCCGTTTTTCGGGTTTAATCTGCTCTTGCAGTTAAACTGAGACGGTGTTGAATATTTAGTTTTAATTCAGACTTTAGGATAATTTGAGTTGGTTGAAGAACATTTACCAATTCCAAACTTCGTCACTAAATTACTTTACAAATATGATCTATAGATGGATTGGCAGATTTCTTGTCTATTACTAAATAAAAACGACTTGACGAAATCTTTAAAAATGTTTATTTTAATCTGTTTTCGAAATGCAGATAAGAATTTATTTATCACTCAGGTATAATCTTTCATCTATTATTTTTAAAAACACTGTGAAATTAAAGAGCCAATGTTTTGCAAAAAGGTTTAATATAAAAGAGTATTACACGGTCTACTGACTGATCGGATTAGCCTGGCTGGAAATAATCGATAAAAATCATTAAAACCATCACAAATAAAGACAGCGTAAGGTATTCAATAGTGTTTGTAAATCTCTGTGTAAGTATCTATCAGTTTAATCTAGTTACGAAATCATAATCTGTGGAAGAAATTTTGGCGCCAAATATATTACGCTCTCGCTGCCATAGTTTTAACATTTTATAATCTACATTTTTAGAGATGCTGCACTGAATTTAATTTACAAAGTAACGAAATATGTGTGCGAGATTTTAAGTGAAATGAAATAATCATAAATCTTTACGTAAAATTGGATGTAATGCGAGCATGTGTATTAAATATTAAGTAAATGTACAATTACATATTCGCCTTATTTCACATCCTTGTATTTTTAAGCAATATTTAAATGTAAGGTATAAATAATTTAGTAAATAATGAGTTTATTAAAATGAAATAAAGTAAAGACAATAACGTAATATACTTAGAGAATTTTAATCTTAGCCGTTTCACTTCAAAGGTGTAATTAAAGAAGGCATTTTTAATCTGAGTCGCTTGTCGTGTTGACCTAAGCTAAAAGTAAAAAGCTCTTCTATAGAATCCTGGAAAAACAAAATTATCGCTCTTTTGGGCACATCAGTTTGAAAATATTTATCTGTAGATAAACTCTGTCATATGCCCCAGATAATTGCTGTCATTATTATAAAACAGATCTTGACGGGTCGAAATGCGAAAGTTTCGGATGCTTGTCAGCAGTCTTGATTAAGGTGCGATGTTTGAAACCCTCAAAAGTTATTAATGTATAATACGTAAGCTACAGATACAGATTATCTAAGTTCACTAGTA